TTTTGCTGCTAGTTTAGTTGTCTAATGTTGCTAGGTTAGTTTTCTGATGCTGCTGGGTTATTTATCTTTCGCTGCTAGGTTAGTTGTCTGTAGGTGCTAGGTTAGCTGTATGATGCTGCTAGGTTATTTATTTATTGTTGCTAGGTTTAGTTCTAGCATGCTGCAGGGATAGTTTTTTTGTTGTTGATAGGTTAGTTCTATCTTGTTGCTAGGTTAGTTCTCTGGTGCTGCTATGTTAGATATATCTAGTTGCTAGGTTATTGTATCAAAAAAAGTTTTATAGAAAAACACTTCCATCAGTCTGTTGTACTAAATTGTCGAGCAAAATACATTAGATCAAATAAATTGTCGAGCAAAATACAAACATTTCCAACACATCAGAGAACAAAATACCCAACAAATCACAATCACTACATCTTAATTCTAAATTTCATCATCTCTACATCATCTTGCAGAAGGAAGAAAGTGCATGTTGTCCCTTCTGAAATTTCATTTTCTTCAAACAATTTTCGAGCGTCGCCATTCTGCATAGTCTTCCTCCCATCATCTTCTTGAGTGATGTTTACCCTGTAAACTCGTTCTCCTACTTTTATAGATGCGCGTTTGTAGTGAGAAAATTTCCCTCTGATATGTTCCCTCCAGAAAGGCATTGGTATGGGCTGCAAGAATAAAGCAATTTGTATGTATTATATGTATTTAAATACAAACAACTTAATTACGCTGACAGATGAAATTTATTAAACTTACCAAACGGAAACGTTCAACGTGTGTGGGCTTAATATTGACATTGAAATTATATTGTGGAGGCCGACTGCAATTGTTGCGCTCAAGGATTTTAATTTCATAGTCTAAGTTGCTGGTTGGTCTGAAGAGCAATAAGGAACCATATTCAACGTCCTCTGTAACAATGTACTCGCGCCAACCGTCTATAATTGTTGGGCAGCCATCAACCCTTTTTATGACAGTCTCATATGTGCGTCCTTCTATTGTATGTATAATGCATCTCTGGGACAGATCCTCATCATGGAAATAGTCGTGGGTGGGTGGCGGAAAGGGCTGGAAAATCACAGCATATTTTCTTTTTTCTGTTAAAACTTGATTTTATATGTAACAGTGCACTGTTAAAAGAATAATTAAAACAAAGAACTTTACCATAGTGTGGAGAACCTTGGTCAAAACAGTCTTATAGAAATATGGCAGTAAGTATTCGTTGTTGTCGTTCATGATATCCATATTCTGTTAATACATCATATAATAAATCACCTTATGCAATAGAAAATTAACATAAAAAGAAGCATATATAATAAATCATATTATGCAATAGTCAATACATAGAACATAGTGAGGATTAAGAGAAAATTAACAGAGATTTTCACCTTCAACTTTGCGATGTTTTCTTTGGTAGAGCGGCAGAAAAGTATTAGCCTTTGACAATGAAGTGTAACCCTAATTTTTGTCCACTTTATATGAAGTCTGCCTTTATTGACCCATAACTACCCATATTAATACACGACTTTTTCATAAGACTTAAATATTGTGACTAGGTTAGTTGTATGATATTGCTAGGTTAGTTGTCTGTTGATGCTAGGTTAGTTGTCTAACGCTGTTAGGGTAGTTGCTTGTTATTGCTAGTTTATATATTTCTTGCTGGTACGTTAGATATTATAAGTTGCTAGGTTATTACTTACATGCTGCTAGTTTAGTTGCTTTTTGTTGCAAGGTTAGTTGTCTAATGCTGCTAGGTTAGTTGTATGTTGTTGCTAGTTTATTTATTCTATGCTGCTAGGTTAGTTGTTGTAAGTTGCTTGGTTATTACTTTCTTGTTGCTAGGTTAGTNGC